ACCAGATCCTTCCATCTCATGGAGAACATCTGACCAGATCCTTCCATGTCATGGAGATCTGCTGTCACGGTCTGAACATGTGGTTCTGCAGCAGGTGGTGGTGAAGGTTCACCTTCTCTCCAAGTTGTAGCTGTCGGCGTTGGTGCCGTGTCTGCTGTTCAACCCCAGGCGCCAGTAAAAGCGCTCCTGGTTGAAAATGAGCGCGAGGCCTCGTCGTCTGCGGCCCATCTTGTACTCCTCTGCAGGATCCAGGTCCAGAGAGCTGTTGGGACACAAACAACAAAGAAAGATGAGCCGCTGAAGAAAAACCAGTGTCCATGAACACGCAGGGCGAGAAGCGAAGACACGAATAGATTTTGTTCATCAAGACCTCGTCCAGCAGTCACAGGAAACTAATTTACTCTTCAAGAAAAGGTTCCAGCAGGCGCTTCATTTGTAACCAAACCATGCCAGAACACTGTGTGTGTGCGTGTGTGTGTGCGTGTGTTTGTGTGTGTGTGTGTGTGTGTGCGTGCGTGCGTGCGTGCGTGTGCGTGCGTGCGTGCAGACTGATGTTGGACAGTAAAACTTTCCAGCTGACATTAAAGAATAAAAACTGTTCACCTTCTGATAAAAGCATCAGTTTCTGTCAGGTTCTCGCTGCATGCTGTGGAAAACACAAAGTACAAATACATCAAACGGTACATTTACTCATTTATTTAGTAAAACCAAGCTGTCAATCAAAAGTACATCAAAAAACAGCTGTTCCACTCTGAACACGTTGTGCTCCAACTGGTTTCTCTCGCTGCAGAACACGTTCCACCACCACAGATCTGTGGCGTGGGATGTCTGACAAACGGCACTTCTTCAGATCAGCAGATCAGCAGATCAGCAGCTCGCCATCAAAAGTTCTACACGAACGACCCGAGGTGTCAACTGGAAAACAAACCTATAGATCTGTTTTCTCGTGATAAAGGCATCAAGACGTTTGAACTTCTTCACTCGACACAGCAACAAGTGGAGAATAGAAGAATAATAAAAATACAGTGTACAATAAACTAACTATTTATCCAGTTCTCAGGCTCCTCTCTTTGGAACCAACTTCCAGTTTCTGTCCGTGAGGCTGACACATTGTCCAGTTTGAAGACTGGGATTAAGACTTTCCTTCTTGGTAAATCCTATAGTTAGGGTCGGCTCAGGTTTCCTGAGATGTCCATGCTGCTATAGGCTTAGACTGCTGGAGGACAAACTGACCACATGTCCTCTCCGTCTTTACTTGCTCTACACTACCTGTTTGTCATTATTTCTATCTCAACATGTTTTTTAGTCTTTGTCCAATACAAAGTACACCTGGACTATAGCAAGTACACCTGGACTATAGAAAGTCCACCTGGACTATAGAAAGTACACCTGGACTACATAAATACACCTGGACTATAGAAATACACCTGGACTATAGAAAGTCCACCTGGACTATAGGAAGTCCACCTGGACTATAGGAAGTACACCTGGACTACAGAAATACACCTGGACCTGTCATTCTGTGTCTGCTTCTACTTCCTGTCTGTCACTCCCTGATCTGTTACAGAACGATGTGTACTGAACTTCGGGGTCGCATGGATCGTCACTGTTTACGAATAAAAAGTGTCTAAATTGAGAAGTTCGTCTCCACTGATCTTCATGAAGCTGATTTAAGCCTCTTGTATTTCTGTTACAAGTCACTGGTCAAGATGATCTGGGACTCGTTAGACCTGACCTGTACTAACTCACCTGTACTGGTTTTAGTTTAAATGAAGGTGTACTAACTCACCTTAGTCTAGATGAAGGTGTGTTAACTCACCTGTACTGGTTTTAGTCTAGATGAAGGTGTGTTAGCTCACCTGTACTGGTTTTAGTCTAGATGAAGGTGTGTTAACTCACCTGTACTGGTTTTAGTCTAGATCAAGGTGTGTTAACTCACCTGTTCTGGTTTTAGTCTAGATGAAGGTGTGTTAACTCACCTGTACTGGTTTTAGTCTAGATGAAGGTGTGTTAACTCACCTGTACTGGTTTTAGTCTAGATCAAGGTGTGTTAACTCACCTGTACTGTGGGAGGCAGGCTTGCTGTCAGCAGCCACACTTCCTGGTATGGGGTGAAAAACAACAAATATCTTTAAAACGTTTTAAATCAGTTTCGTAACATAATTTGACAAACTTAAAAAAAGCGTAATTAGTGTGACGAGCTAAATTCAATGAACTTGTGTAAAACTGTAAAAGCACAAAGACATGGTTTCACTGATAACTTGTAAACTAAAAAAACTTTGCAAACTAAAAGTAGTTTATATTACTTTGATGAAATGCGACGCTACAAACCAACAATGTTTAAGTGACTGAAATCCAAACCGTGACAGAGTTACCTCCGCTGCTGTCCTCCGCCCTGTGAGACATTTCCACAGAAATACTGAAACAAAAAAAACTGGCCAAAGATCCACCGTGTGGCCCCGCCCTCTAAATGTGATTGGCTCAACTGACGGGGCCGGAGCACGATTGGTTGTTACAAGTGTCAGTCAAAACGCCATCGCTTCAAACGGAAGTGGACGTTTGTTAGTGTTTTTCTTTAAGCATAAAACTTAATTAGACAGAATCGCTTTGGTTTTCTTTAAAAACAAATGAAATAAGTAAAAATCATAAAGTGTGCGCTGTAAAATCAAAATGAATTGTTAGTTTGTTTGTTTTTTTATGAAACTTTATCCAAACCAAGTACAAACAAGTACGGTGTAAATGTAAAAAGGGCAAATAGTAGAGACAGACTTAGATGTGGGGACATCAAAGCAAAAACTGATTAAAGAATGATAAGGTAAAATAAAAAAGACAATAAAAATAAACTACAACAAGGGGGTATATTCATTAATTCAACCTTTATTTAGACAGGTTAGTCTCATTGAGCCTCGGGGACTCATTTACAGACACACCTGATTTCACCTGTCTTCATATGTTTCCATATATTTCACAGATTTCAAATATAATTGGAAGTCAGATTTTAAAAAGTTCAAATCTGGGGGTGATCTTAGCACTCTCTGTTTATGAATAAATCATTTTTCCAGACAAAATATCAGTTTACAACCAGTTCCATTTTTTTGTTTTTCACTAATACTCCAGATGTTACCACACCTCTGGAAATAGATTCAGGAAGTGTAATTTTCAGTTTGATCCATCTTTCCAAGTGATTCCAAAATATTTTGGTTTTGTTGCATTCATAGAAGATATGATCTATTGTTTCTATATCCTGTTCACAGAACGAGTATTAACTGAGTCTTAGACCACCTGCTGTGTGAAACATCTGACTGTGGACACAATACCAAAGTGATTCAGTGATCAGGGTCGTGACGGGCCGTGTCCAATGCTCAGCCCACGTGTCATAAGTTTTAACGTGTCAACATGTTTTTGTTTGTTCATTTCAAAATCTGGTTAAAGCATGGTTACTTTCTACCTGAACGAGTCGAGTCAGTTTTGAACTGGTGTTCTAAGAACTTTATTGATCCGGCAGGAAACGGTTCTGTCAGGTAGTTATTGGTCAGTCGGGACATGAAGCCCTGATCTAAAGTGCAGAAGTGTCTCCAGGTGAGATTCATAAACATCAAGCAGTTGGAACGAGAGCGCAGAGCCTCCTGGTTTCAGTCATTTTGGACTGGAACTTTGATGGAAGCCAGCAGGACCGTGGACACGTGGCAGACCCAGTTAGGAGCAGTACGGGTTTCCTGGCAGAAGATCAACAAGAGAACTTTAATGGAAGTTGGTACCTCGTGTTCTTCAACTTATCCATCTCAACATGGACTGACCTTTATGGTGAGTTTCCAGTTAACAAGCTCACGACACGCGGACACAGGGCGGGTGTTTCCGAGTCCCCTCTGTACCGCAGGCCTTCAAGCATCCTCACAACCAACACCTGGTAGAATTAGCCGTAAAGAAAACTACCATGACGTGTGAACGTCACAGAAGCTCAAAGGTACGAACCCCTTGATGTGAGGGAACACGTGGGAACGTAAAAACACGCCTGATGTCCGGCTCCGTGCCAAGGAAACCGTTACGGCACATTTTAACTTCATGTCTTGTTTGGTTGTCCCGGCACGCCCTCGGGTGGAACGCCTCGTTTGATCAGACACCAACTTTTGTTCTGCATCCAAAACATCAAACTTGTCCAGCTGATTTATTATTAGCTTCCACTAGTCAGAACATAGAAATTAATGTGTGTTAATAAATATTCAAATAATTAAAGAGGAGCTGGATCGACACCAACATTGTGTCCGTTTGTAAATGTGGAGAAACTGCAACACAACTTTATTCACTACTGTACTTTTAATATTGTATTATTTATTTCTGCTTTACTACTTATTTGTACACAGTAAACAAACATTTTGAACACCATATAACATTTTTTTACACTTCCATCTGTTTTTAAACGGATTAAATTGGGTCCTGACGAAGCACACGTTCAATGTTTAGTTCAACAACAGACATTCACACGAAACAGTTTCAGGATATAAATAATCAGCGGACAGAAAAATGTCAAATGTCCATTACGACGGTCGTTTCATTTACAGATGGATTTCAAAACTAATAAAATGTTTTCATGAACGCAGTCAGGCTCCATCCCTGAGAGAATCTACTCGAGTTCAAAAGAAAGCAAAAGCTTTTCGGTCTTTCTGATGCTGGCGTTGCGAGTCTGGAGCTCCACAGTCCGTTTCTGCTGCGGCGTCACAGCTCCCGCTTCACTTCGTACTGGCACACGCAGGAGTCCCGCTGGCTGTCCAGGTACGGCTTACAGCCTAAATGCATGACGGCGTCAAACAGCAGGGTCACCGCTGACTCGCATGCTGTCCAGAGTGTGGGAAGAAAGAAAAGAAGGTGAGAAAACACACACAGGGCAAGAGATGCTGCCATGACATCACTGAGAGGAAACCTGATCTGGAGGATCCGGCGGGCTGGATGGTCCTCCCCAAACTGGTATTAAAACACAGTCAAAAAATCCTTTAGGGTGTACTAATGGGGGTGTGTGTGTGTGTGTGGGGGGGGGGGGGGGCATAAAAATGTTTTTGTTGATTTTCAAAACAACTAAAATGACACGTGGGCTGGAAGATTGAAGAGAGTTCATTGTTAATTTTTTATTTTATTCTACAGATCAGTTCAAATAAACTTACCACGGTAAAATGTGCAGGTTTTTTTTAAACTAAAGGCTATTAAAGAGTTAAAAAGTAAAAACTGAATATATTTTCAGGCTGAGGGGAAGAAATATTAAAAATAGCATTTTTAAGCAGCTAAATAAGGCGGAGGATTTTTTCCCTGAGGAACGCCAAGTGTCATTAAGTTAAAGGACATTCCACCGATTAAAGCTCATGTTGATGCTCCCAGTCTCAACGAAGACGTCTCATGTGGACATACCTGACCGTCTCTTACCTTGGACGGTCTGGGACAATCCCAGAGTCCTCTGTACGTTCCTGCAGATGGTCTCGAGACACTCCTGGAACTGCTCGTCACACTCGTGCTTCTCACGGCCGCAGGTATCGTAGCAGCGATCGTGCTGGTTGCAGCATTTGGTCATGGAAGGGATTCCTATATCAAACTGGGAGCAACAACATAATTATTGTTTTGTGAAGCGTGTCACCTAGATCAGGGCTTCCCAAAACTTTGTGAGTCTAGAGGAGATCTATGGTAATCAACCTTCAAATGATCAACAACAGCATATTTACTCTTAACTGTTTCAAAAACAATGGTCCTAAAAATGATAGTTGAAGTAATGTGTCTATTAAAAGGATTATTAACAGTTTGTACACTTCAGCAACAGTCAAGATCACGAGTCTCGATAAAAAGCAAAAACGTTCTTCTTGAAGTTTTCAAACTTTCCATGAAGTATTATCTCAGAAAATACTCAAGTTTCCAAGTATCACCATTATGACAGACATGATAAAACATTAATAAAAGCTTACAAGCTTATATTTAAATCTGACACATCAATCACTGGCTGAAGGTCAAAGTTTAAAATGAACTGCGTCCATGTAGAGCTGCGCAATACATCTAAAGTATTCTGATATTGCAGTACTACTACAATATTGCTAAGGATTCAAAAAAATGGCAGACCTGAACTGCAGCAAGAAATACTAAGTTGGAAATTAGATGGAAAAATACGCCCTCCCCCCCCCCCCCCCCCCACACACACACACACACACTCTAAATGCCCAGAGCCAGCACATGCAGGAAACACTGTAGTGATAAATATTGATGCATGTGGACTTTTCACAACAAATATCATCTTTCAACAATACCACCATCATCATCATCATCAGTGACCTCATGCTCCACAATCACTGCAGAGAACCAGAACACATGCACTGTGTCCTGGCTCTTCTTCTGCCCCACGACGACTGACAGCACGTTCAGAACACTTGATGTGATGTGCACGTCTGTTGGCCCTTGTCCACGTTAGATTTCACAGGAGATCTTAACATGTTCGCCCGTGCACGTTGACTAGTGTCTGTTTGGAGCTTGAGACAACGTGACATTATCACAACGCTACAGGAAGTACTTGGATTCTTACACGACACCGAACGTTTCCCACCTGGAATCCAAAGAGTGGCGAGCCACATCCGTTGGGCGGAGGGTTCCTGTAGCCGGGACGAGGCACTGGTTTGTATCCTGCAAGAGACGGCGACAAGGTGTCACTGCTCAACACTCTGGAGACGACACGTCAACAACATACATGATACAGCTGGACAGTTCTGAGAAAAAGTCATCAGCTCCTCACACGTTTCTTCCATTTTCACCTTTGGTCACTTAAAAATGCAACAGCTGCCATCGAGTGTTTGTTACAGCCGGTCTCTTTGGTGTCTTTGGCACGCCCCTCCTCCGATGCCGGCCCTCTTCCTCATCGACTGTCATGTCAAACTGGTTCAAAACCAAAAAAAGTTTCAGAAAAAAAAAAAGATGACCTGACTGAAAGTTGTTGGATTGTACACCTGGATTATTGAGCAAGGACTATTTTAGTTTTGAACCAGTTTGACATGACTGTTGACGAGGAAGAGGGCCGGCATCGGGGCGTGCCAAAGACACCATCTTAGCACCAACATAACTGGTTTGTTCCACTTTGGAGTAAACTGTTGGGGGAGGAATCAGTTTTGTTTCCTCGACTGATGAAGCCTTCTGGATGGAAGGTGAAACGTTTCAGCAACTAATAAAATTGTCCAGATGACCTGACTGAAAATTGTTGAACTGTAGTTTCAAGTTTATTAAGTTGATTTTTCTTTTATAATGAAGCACAGTTCAACATTTCAGTTTTGGATCAATCCATCCGTATATTGATTGATGGTTATTCCTGGATCAATGCTGTAATTTATGCAGAGGTATCTTCTTAACTTACCTGGATGTTGCAATGACAGCTCATGTCAATCATCTCCTGGGGATTAATAAAGTCATCGTATGACTCACCAACATTATGAGATTTACACGTGCTCACCGTCTGAACATCTGTAATGACACAGGCCGTCATCGCCACCGAACAGATCCAGTGCTGCGTTCAGGTACGTGTCTATTTTATGGATCCCGTTCCGGATGGTCTTCAGAGTCATCCTCCAGTCGGGGGTCTCCGGCTCGTGCGGGCAGCAACAGGCATTGGGGAGGAAATGAAGGACGAGCAGACAGAGCAGAGACGAGCGCACGGAGCTGAGCGCGCTAACACTCAGCTGCGCGTGCCGGCGCCATGTCAACATTTCAGCCCGAGCCCAGGTCCAACGACGTCCAAAACATCCGGTGTCCGCGAGGGCGCTTCCGGGTTTGACGCGGTCACGTGACCCCGAAGCGAATGACGTCATGCTTTGCGATCATGGTTTATTCAAGCTTTATTTCTACAGGTTAGTGCCATTGAATGTACAGGAGCTGATTTAACAAAGAGTGCGGGCAACAAACACACTCACACAGGACGTGCACAAATAGAGATCATTTTAACAAGAGAAAATAAAATGGTATTTAAAAGAAAATGTAAAAACCAGCTAGGTTGTGGGGCGGTGTAGAAAACTAAAACTAAACAAGGTTTGTGAGACCAGCCATGTTTTCTGGGACTGTCCTTAAACTCATTATTTGTTGTTTGTGAGCAGAAAGTTAGAAACGGACCGACCGCTGAACTCTAAACCTGTTGGTGGTTTCATCTGTTTGAACATTACAAGAAAAAAGTTTTTGTTGTAAACTTAATACTAATAATCAAATATACCCACTGCTGTGAAATGTCCATGCTGAAACCCAGAATTAGTTTTTTTACTTATATTTCATCTGTCACTTTAAATTACTGTACCCATGCAAAAGCCTTCTCTAATGTCCAGGACATCCCTGTAAAGGATTATTACTCTATGGATTTATTTCCTGGTAAAATAAAAATAAAAATAAATAAAAAAATAATAATTTATATATATATATATATATATATATATAATTACTAAAAATACAATGTCACACCAGTTCTCTTTCAGACAAATCAAGTTTCTTACGTTTATTTTATTGTAAAAATTTGTGCAAATTCAGGATTTAGGCCACGTTTATTATTCAGACAACGTTTCTGATAAATGTGAGAGCAGAAGAGTGCTTTTCACTCCATTCAAATAATTAAAATATATTAAAAACACAAAAAGTTCAATACAAAAACAACTGGACTTTATTTGTAACGAGACGTTTCGCTCCTGATCCGAGGAGCTTCCTCACTTCAAAGAGCAGAGAGTGAGATTCAGGTTATAAGACTGAGTGAGATAAGACACACACACGTAGATTAGAAATATATTTTTGAGTCGTTCAACAGTTTGAGGTCTGTTATTTTTACTCATGGAACTTTAATCTGTAATATTCAGTGTTTTAAATGTACAGAACACAGCAGACCGTTTTAAATTGAAATGACATCAAATGAGTTACTGAATATAAACCCTTGTACAATTATAAAATAAAGGTAGATTCACCACTGTTGGTTTACAATAATTATTAACCTTTATTTAACCAGTTTAAACTGGTTTTCATGTAATCAAAGCAAAAGTAAGAAAGTCCTTAAAAAGTTTTATTGTTCAAAGACCAATTTGTATCCAACTTTCAAAGCAACTTCAGCTGTTATTTATCCATGTATTTAAATCTTATCTGACATTTATCGCCTGTAAAACGATTAAATTATTTGAATTTGTAGCAATAATTTGTGGCAGTTTAAATTCCTGAAAGTGGAGATAATTAAAAACTTGTTTGTAACAAATAAACTTGGTTTTCTTTGAGCTACATGTTCTACACCAAAACACAAACTTATCAAACTCAGAGATGTTTGATTTCAGGTTCCAGTTTACTTTATTTAAATGATTAGTCGAGCAATGTAGAGAAACTTGTTTCTTTTAAATAGGTGCAATAAGTTCAAACATTGAAAAATAAAAATGTACAACCGTTTATGACCAACAGTTTCATCATGTTCAGTCCCAGGCAGCTTCACATTATGCAGGAGAGACACGTTCTTTCAGGAGGAATGCTTCTCATGTCGAGTCAAGAAGCCTTCTTCATTCTTTGATTCCTTCTGGTCTTTCTTCACGGGACACGCTGGACTGGAAGAGGAGCTCACACGGACCAGAACAACCAGCAAACGATGCATGAACAGATTCGGTTTGCTGGATCTTCAGAAATGTTTGTTCTTGTGCAGAAGGCCCCTCCAGTTCTTGAAGCACATCTTTAGTGTTCTTGTCCTTCTTGTTGTAGAAAAGCACAGACGAAAGAAGAAGAAGAAGAAAGTGTGGAAGAGTCCGACAACGTGTGGACGGTTCGAGACGACGCAGCAGCTCAGTGAAGGGGAATGGTTCAGCAGGAAGATGTGGGGGACTTTTTCTGACCTAAACACTTCTCCTAATGAAAAATCTCTTTCTTAAAATAAACAACATAGAAATCTATTCATATATTTACAAACTTGAAAATGATTCTCATCTATCCGCCTCTGAACAGGTGGTTTAGTCTGTCCACCTCTTTGCAGTTGTCCATGGTCATGAGCTCGGCCTTCTTGCGCATCCGGTCGTCCCTGTACACCTTCGCAGCATAAAGCAGGTCCGTTTCTGGGGAAACGACAGAAACGACGTGAGGGATGGAAACAAAATTTAAAAAACTGTTTATTCATATTTACTTACTTGTCTGCCTCTCTTTCCAGCAGTTGTTTCTAACGTTAGTCACGTAGTCGTCTTCGACGTTCTTCTCGATCTGATGCACAGCCGAGGATTTAAACTCCGACTGGAAGTCGCGGGTGACGTAGTAGTCGACGCGCAGGTTCTGCGTCTGCCGTTTCACAGTCTGACCCGTGGACCTGAAGCAGAAAACATCGTTTATTTGTAAAGTCCCTCTCTACGCCACGGCTCGTTTACCACTGACTCGCGGTTTTTCAAAATAAGACTGAACATGACACACGGTTGGTTGAGTGATGGATGAGCCGCAAGATTGGCATGGATTTTTTATTTTAAATGAATTATTTTTAATTATTTAGCATCTGTGTGCAGCCCACAGCTGTGGGAGAAGCTTCCTCCTCCAGCTGATCAGCTGATCTCGTGCAGAGCGGAGAAGAGGGCGTGGCCAAGAGAGCAACCGAGGCAGAGAGCTGAAATAATGACATGCTCTCTTTTAGAGCGTTTAGAGTTTAGAAACATTGTTGAGAATATTGCAAGAGTGTAGGAAGAGTTAAAAATGCCTTACTGGTAATTAATTAATTAAATAAATAAATAAATAAATATATATACTAAAATAAACTACTACTTAATAATTGTGCTACTATTCCGACATTACAGTTTTTCACTTATCGCGGGGCTTCAGGGTACGGCTCCCCCGTGATAAACGAGGGACTACTGTACAGAAAAATACTAATGTGCATGAGACAGTGAGGCTACAGGGAGCAGAGCTCCAAGCTTATATCTAAAATAAAATCCCAGCTTCACCTTGAGATTAATTTACAGATTAACAATGTGAGCTTTAACAGTATGTTCTCGCAGCACGGTTAGAGTTGGTGGGAAACTACCTGGTTGCTCTCTCTTGTTGATTAAAATCTACAACATAGGTCCACTCGCTCCTCCATGTTATTATTATTGCAAATGGCGGATCGGGTTGTTGTGAAAGTTTCTCAAACAACCAGTGACTCCGCCCCCTGACCAATCAGGGACCGGCAGTTCTGACGTCATGTTTTAGGGCCAGCCCGGTACACTTGGTTGGTGGTAATAAGATGTGATTAAATTAAACATTGTATCGTCTTTATGTTGTTGAGACGGTTAACAAGCGTTGCACCTGCAGAAACAACTAGTAAACTGTCCAGCCTTGGTCTTAACCTTTGGTTCTGTATTAACCAGAAACTATGAAAAACTTGGTCAGAACCAGATGTTGGATGCTGCACATGTTGGATGCTGTCTATCACGGTGCACTAAGATTCATAACTGGCTGTAACTACCGTACCCACCACTGCACCCAGTATCCACTGGTTAACTGGTCACCATTAACTTCACACAGACTCTCTCACTGGTACATCTTCATCTTTAAATCACTTCCTGGTCTGCTGCCTTCATACATCTCCTCCTACATGTCTCTGTGTGAGTGCAGCTACAGCGTGCGCTCTCAGGACATCATTACCTGCAGTGTTCCCTCAGTGAGGACTGAACTAGACAAAAGGACCTTCTCCTACTCCGCTCCTGTTTCCTGGAATATCTTGTAAAAACATCTGAAGCTCTTGACCTTTGACCTCTCTAAGTGGCTTCAAACATCTGTTCAGTTCCTGCAGATGTTCCTGTTTTTAGTTTCTACACCGCCTTATAATCTAGATGTTTTTTAGCTCCTTTTCCTTTTAATTACCATTTTATTTTCACTTGTTAAAAAATAATAATTTGTACACATCCTTAGTGATCGTCTACTCATCGCTCTTTGTTAAATCAGGTCTCTCTTGTAAATGAGTCTCTGAGGCTCAATGGGATTCACCTGTAGAGATAAAAAACTAAATCTACAAGCAGCAGCAATAAAACTGCTGGCAGGGTAAACACACATGCAGACCGTGTGTGCGTGCGTGTGTGTGTACACATACGGTCTAGAATAGAGGCTGTAGGGTGGAGGAGACACCATCATCTGGCTCAGTATTGATACTAAAATCAAGACCACAATGGGCATCAGTTGGATGAACATTGAAAAACCGCCCTAGGAACAAACAATCATAAAATGATTATGAATACGTGTATTAAAAACTAAAAGCAGGTAAATGATGAGAGACACGTACGTCTCCCCTTTCCTCGGTCCTCTCCTGTCTGGAGTCCGTCTGATGGCTGTAGCTCGTCCGCCCGTTGGTGAACGTATGTGCAGTAGCTGTAGACAAAACGTCACAGCTGATAAACATTATGACATCATCAAAGTGCCGACGAGCTCAGCGTAAGATGTGAACAATCCTCCTGTGCGTTCACTCACAGGAGGGGAAGCCACCTCCAAAGAACATGTTGAAGAGGTCCTCAGGTGTGATGTCAGCTTCAAAGCCCCGGTGGAAGTCAAAGCCTCCTCTGTGCGACTGGCTGCGGCTGCTCGGCTCCTCCCCACCCGTCAGGTCGTACTGCCGCCGTTTGTCGGGGTTGCTGAGCACGGCGTACGCATTGCCGATCTCTGCAGGTATTTATTTAAGAGTTGAAATTTGAAAGTTGAAGTTTAAATGTTAGAAATATTCTCCCACAAGTTTGAAATAGCAGTTTATCATCTCGCTGCTTATAAATCATAAAAAACAGACATCTAGATTTCACTCTGGACACAAGTGAACCTGAGAGCAAACGGGCGATAAACCATCACCCACACACACGACCTGCAGCCAGAACGCCAGCAAACGTTCAGCTTTGATTTAGGTTGGGGCTACACAGTGGGCGGGGCTACACAGTGGGTGGGGCTACACAGTGGGCCGGGCTAGACAGTGGGCCGGGCTAGACAGTGGGTGTGGCTACACAGTGGGCGGGGCTAGACAGTGGGTGCAGCTACACAGTGGGTGGGGCCACACAGTGGGTGTGGTTACACAGTGGGAGGGGTTACACAGTGGGCAGGGCACACATTGGGAGGGGTTATAAAGTGGGTGGGGCTACACAATGGGTGGGGCCACACAGTGGGAGGGGTTACACAATGGGCAGGGCAACACAGTGGGTGTGGTTACACAGTGGGAGGGGTTACACAGTGGGAGGGGTTACACAATGGGCAGGGCACATATTGGGAGGGGTTATAAAGTGGGCGGGGTTACACAGGGTGTTTTTGCAAAACAAACATTTGAAGAGCAACTCTGGGAAAAGATAATCTGCATCTAGGTGCGAAGCTAAATGTTGTTTAATGTAAAATTTGGGAGTTAAAGTCAACATGTGTCAGTTCTGTGCACGAAGAAGACAAATGATCAAGTTTGCAACAAACAACCTGGAAACAACAAGTTGCTCTAATGTTGCCACAGGTTACTGGTGGTAGATCTTTAGATGAGGACTTTATTATTTCTGTGCAGAAACAGTTCAGCTTGTAGTCAGAAGACTTTCTTGTTTTGGTGACAGTGAATGGCTTCAAATAATAATACTGAAATAATTTTGTGGAAATAAAAGCTCTGATATTCACAAACATTATGAAGCGTTGTCAGAGAAACATCAAACAGGTGAGCAGCAGCAGAGAAACATCAAACAG